TGCTTTCTCATTCTTTTTTTTTTAAATGGAGGTACTGGGGGTTGAACCCAGGACCTCGTGCCTGCTAAGCATGCGCCCTACCACTGAGCTCTTACCCTCTCCTGCACTTTCATTTGTAACAACTCAGTTTAGTATTCATTCAAGAGAATTTAAAATGACTGACTCTTTTCCCCATTTATCTAATTTTAAGTTATTTCTCCATATAATTCAAGGAATGGCCAAGTCATAGGAACTTGGGTTAGATACCATATGCCTTTTTGCTGGAGTTTTCATTTCAATATGAATCAAAGGAACTGCCCCCACCCCCCACCTTTCCCTCAAGTATCTCTCTTAAAGGGGAAGGCAGGAGGCGTCTGTATAAGCATTTCTGTCCTGCAATTTTCTCCATTACTCAATGGTAATTAGGACTATAATAATTTTAGTTGATTCAAGTTCTGAAAGTGCATGATATTTCCTACTAATGTTGCCTAAAAGGGAATGATTTACAGTAGAAAAGCTGGTATTTATTATTTCCAGTTCTCCTTTCCAGAAGGATTGTGAGTTTGAGGCCTTTGACCTCATTTGTCTTCTGAAATCTGTATCTCCTTAAGGGGAACTGAAGTCACTTTCTGTGCGTTTAGTTTTGTCCATTTGGCCTGTGATGTGACTTTCCATCATTTCTTCTGTGTGTTCTAATAAACCATAAATCTTCGTGGGCTCTTTTATGTATAGTAAGATCTGAAAGAGTCATTTGACAGGTATGTCTCTGAAAAACATGAAACTATACCCATGTTAAACTTGATTTTCTGTGTCTATTATTTATTATCGAATATCTCACCATTTACATAGTATACAATGAGGAGCAAAAAGCCTCTGGAACCCTTTCCTCCATATTTTGATTTATGGTTTTATTTTTTTTCCATAATTAGGTCTGGAAATTACAATTACTATATTCCTGTTAATAAGTACACACCCACCAATGTCAAATTCTCTCTGGAAATCAAGTAAGTGCATAGCTGTAAAGAACAATCCCGGTTTTATCATTATTGGAATAGTAAGCCTGAATTTCCTTCACAATCGATCAGTATGTTAGGAAGTGGAAGTTCTCAGATAACTAATGATGGTTGGGCCGAGAGGTGGTCCGGCTGGAGGGACAGGTTTTCCAAATGAAGGCTGGGACCTTCTGGGCTCGCCCCGCAGAATGGAAGGGATCTGGGCCATACACTCACGCCTGTGAAGTGGGAGTGACCTTGGGTTTGATGCTTGCAGGCTGCCAACTGCCCCTGAATTGGGGTGAGAACTAAAGGAACAGCCTGGCCCCTGGATGGGGGTGCTGCACATTTTTGTGAGCGCCTGGGAGCAAAGGCTACTGCATCACCACCCTCTTCTGAATCCCCAGGGGAGTTCAGAAAAGGAGTCATAGTGTGGAGATGGGTAGACCAGGGTTCCACCTTCGTCTCTGTCATTTACTAATTCCGTCATCTTGGAGAAACCACTTACCCTTTCTGAGCTACTGTTGATTCATCTATGCAATGACTTTGACATTAAACCACAACAAGGAGGGCTGCAGTGGGAATCACTGGCAACAACGGTGAAATTAGTAACTACGCTTTGCTGAGCACAAGCTGTCTGCCAGACTCCCTACCCTTCACTACCGGGTCATACATCCTCACAACAGCCCTCTGAGGTTGGTATCTTTCTCCCTAGTTTACATTTTTCAGATGGGAACACTAAGGTTTAGCGAGGTCACAAAGCCGGTCCCGAAACTCCCAGCGAGGTAGTGGTGGAGCTGGGCTTCAGATCAGCCCATCACTTTCCTGCCTCCGCAAGTGAGATGCGATCAGTAAGAACACTGCCCCTCCCGGCACACAGCAGGCACTCCATACATGGTAGCTGTGATCAGGACTGCCTTTCCTCCAAAACTGCAAAGCTCAGATTTAATCCACTTTATCAGATATCTTAAATAATTATGGTACTTTAAGGCTTTCGCAGCAGTTATGCAATGAGCTACTCACCATGAAGATAGATGGTGTTTATTTTGTGTATCTTGATTTTGGTCTCTCCTTGGTCCCTTCCACACTTCCTCTCTTCTCCCCGCCCCTCCGTCTCTTTCCCTTTCCTCCTCCTCCCCTCTCTCCCTCTGCTTCCCCAGCTCTGTTATTCCTCCTCCATCATTTCCCCCTGCTGTGCCTCGTCCTCTATTTCACTCAGACCACATGCCCCTTCTCTCCTCAACCTTGCTTCTACCGTGAGCTAATGACACAAGCCAACTGCTTGCCTTGGAAAGGTTTATTTCAAGCAGGGAAAATTTCGTGACTCAGAACCCACCATATTTCAAGCCAGAGAAAAGCTAAATGTACTATTCTCTAGCACTCCTGGAGAGACCCAGAACAGCATTTCTTTATTTGTTCCCTGCTTCCATGGGGGGAAATAAGTTGAAGTGATATATCCCCTGAAGTGTCAGAAGGTCATCTTGAGCTACTAAATCAAGTTTTTTAGTTTAAGAACCATTTTTTTCTAACCTGGGTCATCTTAAAGTAACACTCAAACCCAGCTGAGAGTGTAGGTTTTCCCACTTGCGTGAAAAGATTGTTTTCGAAGACGGATGGATCTCACCCTCTTGATGGTGATTCTTGGGTCAACCTCCAGAGAAGAACAGCTCTTTCTGAAAGACCTCCCACTCTAATTCCGACTGGGGCCCACCCCCACATCCCTACCCATGTTGTTTGCCTCCCTGATTTGAACAATAACCTACCCAGACCAGGAGTTTGCAGAATTTGAAATCCCGGAAACTCCAGATGGATGCAAATTCAGTTGCCAGTGAAAAGAGAAGGGATGGATCCAAGAATTATTTTTAAATCCATGGAGATAAGAAGTTCTGATGTTGAGGTGATTTAAGTCATGAGATTAGGTGTTGGGAGACTATCAACTGTTATCTCAGTTTTAGTTGTAGTCAGTTCAGGCTGCTATGACAAGAATGCTGGAGACTTGAGTGGCTTAAACCACGCACGTCCATCGCTCACAGTTCTGGAGGGTGGGAAGTCTGAGATGAAGGCACTGGCCGATTCAGTGTCTGGTGAGAGCCTACTTCCTGGTTCATAGGTAGCTGTCTTCTCTGTCCTCACGCAGCAGAAGGGGTGAGAGAGCGCTCTGGAGTGCCTTTTATAAGGGTACAGTCTCACTCATGAGGGCTCCACCCTCATCACTTAGTCACTTCCCAAATGCCCTACCCCCTAACACCACCACATCAGGGGTTAGGATTTCAACACATGAATTTGGAAGGGACGCAAACATTCAGTCCATAACAATAGCTATCTGAGATGGGGTTCCTCTCCGTTATAATGAGATGTTAGCTAGTATACTGGCATCAGCAAGCTTTGTGTAATGACGTGCCGATTTGGAACTTTGCGTGAATGTCCTGGTATGTTTCCATGAGCCCCTCCTCTTGCTGGGGTGGAGCCCAGCGGGAGCTGGCAACTGCTTTTCCATTCGCCCTTTCTTTCCTTTGTCCCTTGAAGCACCACGGAGCCCCTGATAGTCTTCCAGTGCACGTTCACCCTTGGAAATGTGTGTTTCCAGAGTCAAGGGGAAGCCAAAGGGGTGCAAAGCCACCAAGAAGTCTCCCAGGAGATGACACAGGTAATGTTTTCCAGCCCCGTGGCATTCTGTCCCCGTTCCAGAAGACGTGTGTCTACCGTGGTGGCACATCCTCTGTTCCTCCCTAAGAGACGGATGCCATGAGCCACATGCCCGCGTCTCCCTTGGCTGGCCCTGGCCTCAGGGCTTTGCTCAGCTTCTCCTGTGAGTCCTTCTGAAGCTGCAGACTCTTCCAGCGATGCCGTCAAAAGCCGTTGTCATAGATCCCTCTCCTGCAGCCGTCAAGGGGCTGCTGCAGCCTGCACTCCTTCCAGCTGAGTGTAAAACACAGTGATGAAACGGGTCTCCCTTTCCTTCATGATTTAGGGATATCAGCACATCTGGAACCTCCCTGTCGCCCCACTCTTTGACAGCTCATACCATTTCCGGGTAGCTGCACCGGTAAGCTCTTTTTTTTTTTCTCTCTCTCTCCAGTGAGAAAGAAATGGACGATTAAATAGATAGATAGGTAACTAACTGCAGTTAATTTTTGCATTAATCGTTCTCTCTCTCTCTTGCCCCCTGTTCTGACAGGACTTGGCTGACTGCTCCACGGACCCTTATTTTGCCGGGATATTCTTCACAGACTACTTCTTTTACTTCTATCGACATTGTGCCTAATTTATTCAAGTTTGTTGGGGGACTTGACCAAAGAAAAATACTCAAATATGGTTAACGGAAACTCACGTCCTCTTACAACTTCTTTCTTTCTTTGTAGAACATGCACCTTTTTTGGGCAAACTTTTCACAGGCTTTGGCTTCCAACAGTTTTGAGACGTTAATGAGGAAAATAAAGTGTTTGCTGGAACTTGAGATAACCTGGTGTTTGATTTTTGCCGTGACTATGAGGAAAAGATTTCCTGGAGTAAACAGCGCTGTCAGATCTGAAAATACTGCTTCTGTGATGAAGGAGGCGGGGAGGTCAAAACGGACAGGTCTATTTAACTTTACTTTGTCTTAATGTACCGCAAAGCTTTGGAGAAAAACATAAAGGTCCGTTTCAGCCATATCAACTTGGATCCACCAAATATAGACTCTTGAGAATGTGTGATACGGTGTGTGTTTGGGGGGTGGGGGGTGGTGTCCGAGCTCACATTTAGGCAAACTATTGCTATGAGTGTGTGTGTGTGTGTGTGTGTGCATGTGCATGCTTGTGCACTGTGCACACTAGTGTGGAATGCAGCTTGCTAATAAATTGGATTTAAGAAAAATAGCTGCAATTCTACTGTGTGATGTCTGATGGATGCTACACTTTCTGTGTGCTCTGGGGAGGCACTAGCTTGCGACCAGCCCTTTAAGGTACCCAGACAGTCTGGGCTCAGAGAGTTGCATCTGACCTTGCAGGTGCCATCGCTCTGATTCTGTTGTTCTGTGGTGGTTGTCGTCTTCTTCCTCTGCACGTAAGGGGTCCTCTTACAGGGCATTAAGACTCATCTCCATTGTTTACAGCCGACTTAGCTTTGGATATGTCTACCTGGCTAATGGGTAGATTTGTATGTCTTTCCCAACTTAGAAGGGCCAGAAATCCTCTAGCTGGAGTGTACCAACTCTATCTTTCATTTTCTCTGTTCTGATATTTGACATCCTGGGGTCTCGCTGACTCTGGTGAGACTCCACCTCCCAGGGTCTGCCAGTTCCCAGAGATAGTGAACAACCTGCCCATGAGTGCTATTCAAATACAAACCAACCGATCCATAGCTCTCAGCCAAGCCACCTCCTTTATCAAGTTCTTGTACTCGGTGCCACTATCCACCTGCCCTAACTGCCCCAGGGCCATGTACCAGAAAATTCGGGGCAGCCCCCACATCCCAGAGCCTGCTGACATCCCTCACGCTGGCCAGTCCTAAGTCTGTTTCCCCTGCCTCACCCATTCCTCCCGCGGAAACCACAGTAAAAGCTTTTGCCCATGGTTCCTTCCTCTCCCTCTCCCTCCTGACCAACCCTGGTGTTTCCCAGTGTGGTGCCCCAAGGCAGGCATGTCCCCTCCTCTTAGGAACTGTGAGTTAGTATCTTTTCAATGGCGATCATCTTCTGAGCTGTTGGCCATCCTATAGCTCAGATTTTTTATTGATACACTATATGTTAGGACATGGAGAGCCAAGCCGCCCCAGCTCAAGCCTCATAGCAGGGCTGTTGAATGGCTGGCCTTCCCTTATCTTATCGTTGGCATGTGTGATGCTGTAATTTACAGTAAGAAATGTATATTTGTTTTTAGGAGCTCTGGCACAGAGCTCCTAAAACTTTTGGAATTCCCTAAGTGCTGAGAGAAATAAAAGTGCCTTTTGTTATATCAATGAGGTGACAGTGGTTGGCACCAAAGGTTGGGGACTGGTTGCCAGGACAACCAACTACGTGATTAGGATTTGGAGTTTCAGTCCCACCCGTGATCTCTGGGGAGGGAAGAGGTGCTGGGGGTTGATTTCAGTCAGTCACCAGTGGCCAACGATTTACTCAATCATGCCTATGTAATGAAGCCTCTAAAAAAAGCCGAAAGGACAGAGTTCAGAGAGCAAGTGGGTTGGTGAACATGTGGCAGTTCTGGGAGACTGGTGGCCATCAGAGAGAACACGGAGGTTCTGCACCCTTTCCCGGTATCTTGCCCTAAGTATCTCTTCCATCTGGCTATTCCTGAGTTATATTCTTTTATAATAAACCCATAATCTAGTGAGTAAACTGTTTCTCTGAGTTCTGTGAGCCACTCTAGCAAATGAACGGAACCCAAGGAATGGGGTCAGGGGAACCTCCAGTCTATAGCTGGTAGCTCAGAAGCACAGGCAATAACCCGGGCTTGCGATTGGCATGTGAGGTGGTGGGTGGCCGTCCTATAGGGCTGAGCCCCCAGCCTGTAGAGTTTGTACCTATTTCCTGGTAGAGAGTATCAGAGTTGAGCTGACTTGTCAGACACCCAGCTAGCGTCTGAGAATTATTTGGTAGTACGGGGGTAAGACCCTCCCGACACACACACACACACAGTGGAATTGGGGTCGCAGAATCCTTTTTAGCCTATGAGTCAATTAGGATGAGACAATTGGATTCTTTTGAACTTGACAGTGATAATCAGTAGCAATGATACATCCCTTTTCCTTTATTTTCAAATAGTATTAAACACGTGCCATGTGGAGGAAAATCATGAGAACTATTAATAAAAGACATGCACCTTGCTTACACAGAAGATGTTTTGAAATAAACTTACAGACACAAAGGTAGTGTAACCCAGTAGGAGCTGAGAATTTGGAGCCAAACAGTCCTTGCCTTAGTCCTGAATCCTGACTCTTTGTCCTTGGTTAAGTTACCTAACTTCTCTCAGCCTCGATTTCCTCATTTATAGAAGAGGCCGGTGAGTATCTGCAACAGATAGGATTAAGTGAGATAAAATATATAAAGCACAGATAGGCTGTAAATAAATATAAGCTGTCATTGTTGCATGGAAGAGCATCATTGTAGAGATCACAGTGGGATTATAAAGGGATTGAGTAACTGAACACGCAGACGTTCAGGGAGGCATTCTGTCAACTGTGAAAACCCAGCTGCAGATGGAGCATATGCATGTGCATTACATAATATTTATATTTTTTTCTATGTCTGGAAAATCGTTTTCCCCTTTTGCTAACAGCATAGCCTTTGTGGAAAATTAAATATGGTAGTTAATTCTTGGGAATTTGGGATTCTTCCAATTTCTTAGATTCAAATTCAGACTTGTTCTCCAAACCGTAGTATTAGCCCGTCCCAGCATGACCCAGGTCTAGATACTGTAGCTGCAACTCCATTTTAAAAATAACATCCCAGGTGCTTGGTGTGGGAGAGACTCCAGGAATCTGACTCCTCTACTGGTAAAGGCATGCTTGTCAGCAGCAAAGTTATATGAGTTCTTTTTTCAGCACATAAATCCCACGTTCTTATTCACTCACTTATGTTCAGGATAACATGGGGGTTTCAGATACCTAATGTAACTGAGCAATGTTGCCTATAAAGGGACTTCTGTAAAATGAATACCATTTTCCCATTGAATTCCATCAAAAAATGGAAGGTCCTTTCCCCACAGAAAACTTACTACAGGAGATGTGTTGAAAGCCTTCAGAATGAAAGGATTTAAGATAGTGAACAGATTTGTGGCAATCTGGCATCTTGGGATCAGTTAAGCCTATTAGGAGAATAGACTTTGCTGTGCTTTTCTCTTGTATTTACAGCACCTCTCCAGTTGTTAGATGTCCACTGTGGACCATGCTGCTTCAGCCAAAGGACTCTTCCTTATGCCAGAGAATTATCTGACTCTATTGGAATATCTCCAAATTCAAGTGATTAATTCACGTGTCTGTAAGACTATTCCTCTCAGAAGCTTATAAACCCAGTCTAATCATGAGCAGAACATCAGACAAATCCCAACGGAGGGGCACTTGACAAAGAACTTGACAGGGCTAACCAAACAAGGTTATCAGAAACAAAGGAAGTCTGGGAAATGGTCACAGCCAAGAGGAGCTTAAGAAGGCATGATATTAAAAAGTTCACAAATGATAAATCCTGGAGAGGGTGTGGAGAAAAGGGAACCCTCCTACAGTGCTGGTGGGAATGTAGTTTGGTGCAGCCATTATGGAAAAAAGAATGGAGATTTCTTGAAAAACTAAAAATAGGCTTACCATATGATCCAGCAATCCCACTCCTGGGCATATATCTGGAGAAAACTCTGATTTGAAAAGACACATGCACCCCAATTTTCATAGCAGCACTATTTACAATAGCTGTGGCATGGAAACAACCTAAATGTCCATTGACAAATGATTGGATAAGAAGATGTAGTATATTTATACAATGGAATACTACTCTGCCATAAAAATAATAAAACAATGCATTTGCAGCAACATGGATGGACCTGGAGATTGTCATACTAAGTGAAGTAAGCCAGAAAGAGAAAGAAAAATACCATGTAATTTCACTTATATGCAGAATCTTAAAAAAATGAGACAAATAAACTTATTTACAAAACAGAAACAGACAGACATAGAAAATAAACTTGTGGTTACCAGGCGGGAAAGGTGAGGGGTGGAGGGATGAATGGGGAGTTAGGGGTTTGCAGATACTAACTACTACATAAAAAATAGACAAACAACAAGATCCTAGTGTTTGGTACAGGGAACTGTATTCAATACCTTGTAGTGGCCTATAATGAAAAAGAATATGAAAAGGAATGTATATGTATAAATGAATCACTGTGGTGTATGCCAGAAATTAACACAACATTGTAAACTGACTGTATGTCAGTGGAAAAAAAGGAAAAAAAAGACATGATAACTAAAGGTCATGAGGAATCCTAGATGGGACCCTGGAACCAAGAAATAACATTAGAGGGGAGGGTACATCTCAGTGGTAGAGTGTCTGCTTAGTATGCAAAAGGTCCTGGGTTCAATCCCCAGTACCTCCATTAAAATAAGTTAAATAAATAAAAACCCAATTACCTTCCCCCAAAATGAAAAAAATAAAAATAAAAATAAAATTAAAAAAAATAAATGATCTTAGATACAAACTAAGGAGAGTTGAATAAAGTATGGACTTTAGTTAGTGATAATATGTCAATACTGGTTCATTTACTGTGACAGATACACCAGATTAATGTTAGAACACTGATAATAGGGGAAACTAAATGTGGGGTTTATGGGAACCCCGTGCACTAGTTTCACAATTTTTTAATAAATCTAAATCTGTTCCAAAATAGACAAAATTATTTTTTAAAAAAGTAAGAAATGAAATCCACAACAGCTGGGCTAAAATATCACAATGCTGCCCCAAGTTGCCATGTGTGAGAACATGAGATGAGTGCAGGTCTGCGCATCAATTTAATGAGCCTCCAAATGTAGAATGTAGCATGTAGAATACTACATAATATAAATACTATGAAATATGAAATAATCATATAATATAACAAACAGAATTACAATAATTTTTCTTGAGTTCTGATACAGGAGTTCAAACAAGCTATGTCAGATTTTTTTTTAAACAACCAAACCATAAATTTTCACCTAAAACAATTAGCATGCATGGGTTCAAACTTCTAGCATTTAAAAAATAAAAACATTTTAGAGTGCTCTTAATCTACCTCTTTTTCCATTTTCATTCTTATTTATTTTTCCTATATAATTTTTGGATTTCAACTTCAGTGGCAGATTCCTAACAGCACCTCATTTGAGTTATGAAACTAAAGGTATTCAAAAGAAAAAAAAAGCTATTCTGTTGGCAGTCTTCAAGGCAATTTCACAAACCTCCTTTCACTGGATTCTGACAAGAACTTTGTGATGTTGACAGTGAGGGGAGTGATTCATACCTCCCCATTCTACAGATAAGGAGACTGAGGCACAAAGAGGTTAAGCAAGGATAAGAGGTGAGCCAGGTCTCCTGGTCTTAAAGCTAACCCACTTCCACTATACTCCATATCTTGTTCAGCTCAGGCTGCCATACAAAATTTCAGGCTGGGTGGCTTAAACAACAGGAATTTATCTCTCACAGTTCTGGAGACTAGATAGTCTAGGATCAAGGTGCCAGCAGGTGCAGGGTCTGGTAAGGGCTCTATCCTTGGGCTGCCTTCTCGCCGTGTCCTCACATGATCTTCCCTTAGTGCGTGTACACGTAGGGAGGGGAGAGAGATAGAAAAATCAAGTTCTTTGGTGTCTCTTTTTATAAGGGCACTAATTCCATCATGAGGGTCCTATATTCATGACCTTGTCTAAACCTAATTGCCTCCCCCAAACCAGATCTCCAAATACCATCACGCTGGGAATTAGGCTTCAACATAAAACCAAGTAGGACCTTGTGGGGGCCTTCCTGGGGAAAGGCCACGCCTATAACCCCACCTCTTGTTTGTAGAAA